TAACATTAAAAGCCTAATCTCAGTATTAACCTTCTGAAAATCTTTCTGAAACCAGCAGCATAGCTCACTCTCTTCAGTAAAGACAATATCAAGCCAAAACTGAGTTCTCTATAAAATTTCCCTGCAGAGCTGACATCCTGGTGATAGTGAAACAAACAGCAGTAGTTCTGTTGTCTTAAATGGGACCAGAAGGATGTGTGGAAAAATCAAGTTCAATGAGATAAAAAGCAAGAGTTCTGTGTTATGCTATGGATTTTTTGGCTATGTATTCCCCTGACACTTGCAGCATAATCATACCCAGTTTCAGTGACTGGAAGCAAAGCCAGTGTGTGTATGCAAAAGCAAGACAGTGTTACAGTAAACGTAAACACTTCACTGGTATAATTGTAGATATTATTGACTTCCATTCTCTAGCAGTCATAGGCAATTTCACAGATTGTAGGTATATTTACTGACCTGCCTACACTGGTAAAGATGAGTTATTGTAAGTGCGACTTGCATATAGATCTCCCATGACCTTAAGCAGTGCATAGGAAAAGTCGAATAGAGCTGACACGCAGGATCTATTTGGTGCAATTCTTAGCTTAGTGCATTGCATAACTGATGGTAAAAGTGTTTCGCTTTAAAGAATCATGGAAGCAAAATTGCACTTCTTGACATGAAAAAAATGCTTTCTTTGAGAAATGCGGTTTTCTGTACTTGTTCGTGTGTGTGTGTTTTGTCTTTTTTATTTTATTTTTTTTAATCTTGTGGGATTTTTAATGAAAAAATGTATAAACTTAAGTCAGTAAAGTATCTGAGTTTGAAAGAAATAATTCCAAATAAAGAAGACGTTTAATTATGAATTGCACACAGATATATTTGATAAAGAACTTCTTAGGACAAAATATATTGTAGAATTTTTGATCGTCATTTGCCAGGTTTTAGAGGCAAATATTCTAAATACTCCTAATTGCATAGTGTCATGTCTGTCTTTCTGCCATGACAACGTGATGTTCAGCTGTCCAAACTGACATTCAAATTAATTTATTTGGGAATCATTCATGGATCATGCTGTCATCTTGCACTGAAGGCTGTTACCTGGCATTTTAAAATCTGTTGAGTTTTGAGGAAAATGTGTCTGCATATTTATGTGTCCACGCTGCAGGTGATGCTGTTGAAGCCAGGATGAATGCAAGCACATGGTGAATCTTTGCAGCAGGAGCATCCCTCTTGCTACTGAGGAGTTTCTCTTTCAGGCTGTGTTAGGCTGTGCCTGAATACCTGGGTGAGAGGCTGCGGGGACTTAATCCAGGGGCAAAATATTCTGCCAACACTCTCCCATTTGAGCAAACTCGAGTACAATGTCAATATTTGATCACTAACATATACTAACCCATAAAGGCTGAAGAGTTACTGGGATGAAAAGAGTATTTTGGTTAATTCGCTTTACAAATAGTTACACAAGTATCTTGGCAGTAGGAAGACATTTGGTCGGGCTGGAGGAATTTTGCCCCAGATCCCCAGAGAGGACTTGGCAGCAGCAAAGGTTCCGTTCACATGACCTTTTCAAGAGGGCCTGGGTCATCTCAGAATCAGAATTTGATGGAATCCATGAGGATTTCCAGGCCACTGCTGCTTTAGGTATGGTAGAGCCTTGGATTGCTTTTTCCTACTAGACTGTGGGAATTTTGTTCCTTGCTGCTTCTGACTTTTGTCTCTCCAGGGTTGTGGTGGTTCCTTCTCACTGCTTTAAGTCTAGAGTCTGTGTTCAAATGGCACATTGGCATCAGCACAATCAGTTTAGCTGACACTTGATGAATGTTGCCAATTCTGAGTACTTCCAGGATTGCTTGTGGTTCATGTACAATTTAAACTGAAGCCTGTTTTTGAAATAAAAGAAATAACAAGTGGATGTGCACTGTCTCTTTCCTTTTTACTTCAAAAGTGTTGAAAGGTGTGTTGGTGTTTTAAATTTTTGTTCATGTGGTTCTGAGGAAGTTGGGTAAGTGTGAGAAATGGTTTGTGGTGGGGAAGGTGGCAAATCAGAGTTATTCATCTTAAGAGCACAGTTATAAATATTAAGGCAATACATTTTAAAAGCCAATTAAATAATAATGAAGTTGTTTAATTCTTGCTGTTAATCTTAGTGGTTGTATCATTAATGAGATAACTGAGGGTTTAGAATGTCTCTTAATCTTTTCTTTATTTTTAAGCAGGAGAGAGAGTGAAGGAAACATTCTCCTTGAGAGCTTTTTATCTGCTCAGAGGGGCAAAGTGTGAGGGGATCATTTTATTTGATTTCAACCCTGAAGAAATGTTTCAATTTGAAGTGTTAGTGCTGATGTTGAGCTCTCATTGCTATGCATTTGAACACACCTTTCTCACGGAATGGGCTTCTTTGTGTCTAAAGAACTGGTTGTTTTTGTAATACAGTGAAGTATGTTGAAATCTAACGGGAAAAAAGCCAAAGCCGAAGGCAGAGAAAGTGACGTCGTCATCATCGGCAAGGAAGTGTCGACCAGGTGGAGGTGGGGAATAGAAAGAGCCTTCCCGATTCCTCCGGATCTGAGCTGGGCACAGGGAGAGGATGGCAACAAGATCAGCTCAATCCCACTGTTCTAGATTGGAAGCTGAGTTTAGGGATTCCTGAGGATTTTTATTCGGTAATCTAGCGGTGCATGAGATTTAGTTTCAGTCTTGCTGGTGTAAGGCCAGAGTGTTTCCTCCTGTTTTACCATAGGGCAGTAGGTGGCACTAGTGCCCTGTCAAATGTTGTCCCTTGGCTACTCGAGGCAAACGTAACTTGAGGTGCAAAGAAGCAGCTCGCAGAGGAGCCCAGTAAAGCAGCAGCTCCTGTAGATGATGATTTTTATTCTTTATCCCCTTCCTGTCTGTAGAAAGAAATACTTGGAAAAAAAATAACCCAGGAAAGCTTTAGGTTTTAGTGGAAGGTTACTCAGATTCTGTAACATCCGAATATTTTCTGAGTAGCTTCTAGTTCAGCAACTTAATTGGTGCAGGGAAATAGCTTCAATTTCAAATGTTCATCATTTGCAGCAAAATGTTGCTTCTTGTTTCCTTGTGAAGGAACACCTTGAGCAGAGCCATCCCTTTTTTTTGCAGTTAAAATAATTCCTGCTCTGCTGCAAAGGCCTGATTTTCACTAATGCAACAATCTACCCCAGTCATGCAGTGCATTAAGCACCTTCCACTACCTAATTACTTCTCCCATTTAGTTCACTGGGGAGGCTGTGTGTGTGCATGCACATCTGGTGTTGCTGGAAATGCCGACCACTGACATTTAGAAAATACTGAAGAACAGTATCGTTTGTTTTTAAAAAATCTTGTGAATGCCTCTGTTTTCTTTTTGGAAAAAAAGATCTCAGAGTAGATTAGCTTTGTGGATTAACCCTATACCAACCTTATCCCAAAGGCAGTGGAGAAGCTGCATTAAGAGCAAAGTGGGTGATTTACCTTCTTCCTTTGCAGCTTTGAAAACCTGCGAGCCGACCCGGGGCCTCGGCTGCCCCAGGAGGGATGCGGTTGTTGGCTGAAGCTGATGGAGTTGATTTCCCTGCCTCCTGCGTGACCTACTGGTTTCAGCACCTTTGGAAAATAGTAAGTTTTGAAAGTTAATACAGTTAAGCAGCTTCATAGGCACCACAAAAGGCAGGATGCCCCTGTAAGCCAAGATGCCCCATTCCAGGTGAAAATGAGCACAAAAACACACAGGGGCTGCCAGAGCCCTTGGCTCTTTCCAGCTTGGAGCGGGTGGGGAGCGGGAAGCAGAGGACATTTTCTTCGGCTAGACATCCTTACACCTGGTAAAATATTCAGCCTTTCCTCATGCTTTATTTATTGTGACCCTACGTAGTCTAAAACAGTGGGCCTTCCCCCGCCGTCCTGCTGCGCACGTGGGTTTCGATGCCTCTCGATTCATTATTTAGGGAGCCTTGGCTTCCTCCTCTCAGCTCGGCTGTGCCGGCGGCTCTGCAGCAGGAAGGGCCTGACCTGGGATCCTGTTCCTCGGCCCTGTGTTCCCAGGAAATGTTCCTTTCCTGGGACACGTCTCCTTGGGACACGGTAACCCCAGAAGGGGTCGAAGCTGTTCGTGGTGCTGCTTTGCCATGACAAAAGGTCTCTGTAATTAATTTAAGTAAATCAAAAGGAGTTCAGATGCTGCAAACCTCCTCCTGATGCCCTTGCATGCTAAAGTGGCTTGGATGTCATCTATGCAATAGTTTTAGCACCCAGTCCTAAGAATAAATTGGGGGGTTATTAGCCCTTGCAATGAGTGCTGCAAAGAAAACATTTCTGAATGCTTTGGAATTACTGCTTAATAACCATAATATTTTCTCCTAGCATTAAGGGACTTATGAGAAAGACTAGGATTGTCAGCTTTCTGGTCATTTAATGTGTTTTTTTTAAATACCGGCTTTGTGCAACAACATCAGTTTCGCTAATTTTTA